GGCCGAGAGTGATCACGTGACGCATGAAGAAGGCTGTTGACGCCCCCATCCAGAGTATAAGTATGAGAAGCCGCTACGAAGAAGTGGGGAGGGAAGTTCACGCCCCTCAGAAGCATCGTGAGAAAGTGGGAGTGAAAAAAAGTTACCAAAAATGGAAAAGAGTGGAAAATCCCTAACCAGAAATAAAAGAGGTGGATATGTATTTAGAATTATCGAGGAACTCCCCGACGCCAACAGACCCAACCCGGTTTTTGTCGGCGTCAATAAAAAGCCAGGCCCCAACAGGCAGAAATTAGTTCGGACCCTGGCGGGCAGAAGTTCGTTCGGCCCTGGCGGCAGAGATGAGTATCCAAAGTTCGAGCTCCAGTTTCCAGAGTTGAAGCCGCCTCGAGATAGCTGAACAAGATTCACGCAAAATTTTGGACTCCTCTTCAACCAAGAACAATTATTTGAAGAGCAACTTAGGACCAGACCACAGAAATAAGTTTTTCGACTTTCGTCCAAAGACACACCGAAACACAAATTTCTTAGAGAGCAAACAACTTGAAGCGTTAAAACTTGCCTAGCGAAAGCGACGTGTCACAATCCACAGAACGGGTCGGGAGATAGATGCAGTCCTATGTATCGAACAACTAGACATAAGGTTTGTTACCTTTTTCTTTGATACTTTGAACTTTTTGAGTTTTCATTTTATTTTCTTTTATGCATATTTGTGTGTGGGTGGGCAAGTCCAAAAATACGACGAAACGGCCGTCCAGTGCTTTCTGTATTTTGTTGAAAATTACTTATCATCATTCAAAACCCCCTAATAATCTCTATCAGACACAGACACACACACACACACACACACACACACACACACACACACACACACACAAATATATATATATATATATATATATATATATATATATATATATATATATATATATATATATATATACAGTAGCATCCAAAACTAAGGGACAAAATTTTAAAACCTAATATTTGTTAGAAATAACAACTGTGAAAAGCTGAAATTTTGACAACTGGTAGTCGTTATCATCCATAATAACATACTAAAATTTGAATCATTTGCAAAGGATAGAAAAAGAATTATAACAATTATTTATTTATTTTAAAAATAGGATCAAGCTTGTCTCGCTAAAACAATTACGAATGTATAGTGGGTTCGATCCTCACTGTGTGCCCCAAACTTTCGGCCTTGTGCTACATGTCAGCCACGCTTAGAAAATCATTTACAGTGCCTCTAGGTAGTGTAATGGTTAGCAAGCTTGTCTCGCTAGAACAATTACAACTGAGTAATGAGTTGGATCCTCACTCGGTGCTTCCCTATATTCGGCTTTGTGCCACATCTAAGCTACAGTAGGAAAAATACCAGAATCTCTATTGAACTTAGCCTCCACCTAGTTTTGGTTAAACCAAGATATATAAGCTACCAATTGAATGCGCCTAAAATGGGAAAATAAAATAAAAAAACATAAAATCAATAAAAAAAACAAAAAACAACTGGAATAGAAAAGAAAAGAAAACGAACATAGACAAAAAAAATGGCGCACGAACAGACACCTACTTATGCAAATAAGGACAATTCTCAATGCCCTAATCAACAAAGCAGAACTAACCGGTAACCAGCGACACCATTTAAATAATAGAGACACGGTTTTGCGGAAGAGACTTCCGAGAGGATGCATACATAATTATACAGTAATGTTAATTAGATCTTTAAAGAATACGTAAGCGTGTGCAACATGTATGTATCGTAAGGCATTTTTTTTTAATGGATTCAATTTTCAGATTGCACCTGAATAAATCAGCGAACTTCTTTTTTATGTTTGAAAATCAAGTAAAATAAATCCTTGCTGCACAAAAAGAAAAAAAAATAAATTGTTGGAGGAACGAATCAAAATCTCAAATTTAAGGACATTTGATATAACACCCGGGAAAATTCAGTGGAGGATATTCTCCATTTTTTTTTTTTTTTTTTTTTTTGGGGGTATTTTTTTCACGAACTCAATTTATTTCTAATTTGTCTTGTGATTTAAAACACGTCATGTTCTGTGCAAATTATTTGGACAACGTGCGATGTAATCAGACATCAGCAGCTTCCAACGCTGAACAGTTTTCGACCACCCTTTCCTAATTTAGCATATCTCTCTCTTTCTCTCTCTCTCTCTCTCTCTCTCTCTTTACTATCTTTCTCTTTCTTTGTCTGTCTTTCTCTCACTGCTCTCCCTCTTATACAACTTGCAAGATTTTTTTTTTTGCCACCTTTATCCATCATCTTGCATGGTTTATCTTTTTTCAATCGTTTTTATATTCTTGTCTCTTTCTGCCTCTCTTTTAAAATGCCTCCTGCATTTTCTCTCTTTCTCACAACTATCTCTCTCTCGCTTTTTCTTTATATCTATCTTCATTTTCTCTCTTTTTTGCTTATCCTATTATCTTTCTCTCTGACATTTAATCTCTATCCCACCTTCCCTCTCAAAGTTTTTCTTCATTTCTCTCTTTTTCGACTTTTCTTCTTTTCATATCTCATACACACCTCTCTCTTTCTTCATATTTGTCTTCGTTTTCCTTCTTTTTTGCTCTTTCCTTTTTCTCTCTAACATTTAATCTCTATCACACCTCACTTTCCACTCATATTTCTTTTTCTCCTATATAGAAAGCAAAAGGAAAGAAAGCGACTATGATACTAGATAAGAAGAAAGAGAGGTGGGGGTGTTTCATCAGAACAGTTACCTTGAAAGTATTCATAGAAAATGCACAGGAAAGCTACATTGGGAAAGAAACTGAATCCGAGATGCCAGGTCAGGACAAATAACATCGCAGATTCGCCTTTGGATTTTATCAAGAATATCTGAATATATAGCAAGAGCACCAGATTTGGAATGACGAATTATATATTTATAAATATGTAAGATAGATCCCAGCGAGAAAAGTTGTCTAACACAATAAAGAACCAACTTTTAGCAGCTGATTTGTTATTTTTTTCTTGTGTTTTACCGCATATCAACCTCAATGGGTTATTTAATGCCGACAGGATTTTTATTGCTGGTAATATTTTCTTTCAAAAATATATTGCTGGTGTTAAAACCTATATTTACACTTTCATAGTGCTTTGATCCCAGTTAGAGTGTTAACTATTTACCCGTTGCTGGGACCCTAAAAGGTGCTACCACACCGGGTCAGGGTTGACCTGGGAACACCAGCAATTAAGAGGTGGTTCTACGATCCTCAAAACTTCCTGATCAGAGGCCTTGCTGTTGGACGTAATTTATCGTCTTACACAGGACGCGGATGTAGTTTATAGGTCTTACCCGGGACGTTTTTAGTAGCTGAGCTAGCAACTGATTCAATATAATCTTTCCACTTTACGTCAGCGGAAAGCATTAGTCCGAAAAGACGCAACATGTCCCTCTCATGAAGGTTAGCATCAGCCATGTTGATGGAAGGCAGAAATGGATCACTCAGACGATTAAATGAGTGTAGTTTCGTTTTGAAGGCGTTAAAATTAACGAACAATTCCTTGATCCTGTTCGGTCATTTTTTTTTAGATCAGCTGCCAATCTGAGCGGTTCGATAAGGTCAAAACCTTATCGAACCGCTCAGATTTACTATTAAGACATGTGTAAATGGTTGTGTCAACAGCATAGATAACAAGATGAAAACACATGCCAACAGGAAGGTCGTTGATGAAAATTAGAAACAGCATAGGCCTAAGGATGGAGCCCTGAGGGACGGCTGCTTGAATGCAAAGAATTCTAAAAGAATGGCCGTTTGAGACATATTTCATTTCATGATTCGACAGCAACGACTGGATCAGTTCAAAAATTTGCGCAGGAATACCATAACCTTTCAACATGTGAAGCAGACCAGTATGTCAAATCCTGTCAAATGCCTTCGAGATATCCAAAGCAACAGGCAGGACTTCACCATTCTTGTCTAAAGCTTAATAGACTCTTTTAGCAATAATCGTTAACACATCAGAAGTTGACCTAGAGAAGAGAAAGCAATAGAAACAGAAAAATCGAAAAAGATAGAGAGAGAGACGGAGATATACTGATGAAAAACTATTTAATTTCCATTGCAAATGCATATTATTCTATATATCTCATTTCTTGTCAATGCACTTAATATTGCACTTCTCCATTAAGTACATAGTTCGGATATTATTCATTTAAATTGATTTAGTAAAATATAAATATCAGGTACAGATTATTTGATCGGTCTTCGTAAATCTCTAAATTGGTTTCATCACTAACTTTTACCATATTCTCTATTAAAAAAGAGATTAAAAAAAATTGGTGTTCTCTGATGTCTGCAGTCTGGACAATGTCCCCAGTTATTTTCGGAAAACTCTACTAGGATAATTGATATTTTGTATCATGTGGGGATTAGGAATAATAATCGGGAATTAATCTTTTTAAATTTTTTTTTTTTTTTTTTTTGACTCACATAAACATGTTTCCCTATTTTCAAAAGAAAGAAAGAAAGAAAGAAAGAAAGAAAGAAAGAAAGAAAGAAAGAAATCACATGAAGGGAATAAATGCGTGGAGGTTAATTTACAGAAACAGGCAGGAGCCAAGATAAAAATAGGACAAAAATACCCGGTTCGATCGAAAGAAAAATATTTCGGTTGCAAAATTGATATATTGTTAAAACAGTCTTGAGTATGGAGAGTAGACGACATACAATGGGACAGAAGGCGGGAGAATATATAAAAAAGTCTGAGTTTGATAGATAGATAGATAGATAGATAGATAGATAGATAGGTAGAAAGAAAAAAAAGAGATAATAACACACATACATACATACATACATACATACATACATATATATATATATATATATATATATATATATATATATATATATATATATATATATATATATATATATATATATATATATATATATATATATATATATATATAGATATATGAAAAAGAAAGAAAACCTGATCGGAATAAAGAAAGTGGGAAAAATAAATAGATAAACTATTTTCGTACATTGATCGAAAAACGATTAAAAAATACCTTTGAAAATAAATATAACGTAATAAATAAATAAAGAATTGATAAATAGACGTGAACAGAATGAGATAGATAGATAGATAGATAGATAAAGAAATGGTAACATAATGAAAGATAGAAGGAATAATAGATATATAGTACATGAAATAGACTGATATATATATATATATATATAGAGAGAGAGAGAGAGAGATAGATAGATAGATAGATAGATAGATAGATAGAATGAGATAAATATATAGAGAAAGAAATGGTAACATAAAGAAAGATAGAAGTAATAATAGATATAGAGTACATGAAAAAGACTGATATAGATAGATAGATAGATAGATAGATAGATAGATAGATAGATAGATAGATAGATAGAGAAAGGAATGATAACATAAAGAAAGAAAGAAAGAAAGAAAAAAGAAACCAAAAAAGAAATAATAGATAAACAGATAGACAGATATTAAGAAAGAAAGAAAGAAAGAAAGAAAGAAGAAAGAAAGAATGAAAGAAAGAAGAAAGAAAGATAGAAAGAAAGAAAGAAAGAAAGAAAGAAGACAGGCAGAAAATCTAAAGAAAAGAAAATAACAAATCTTGAATCTTGTCTTCATGTTTAATTCTTCGATCATTTTTAATTGACCTTTTTTTTTTTCAGGATTGTTTTCTATTTTTCTCATTTCATTTGATCACTTGTTTAATCTCAGTATCCAACCGAGGTAATTAGTCTATGTCTCTTCCCGATTAGCATTCCAATCAAAAATCAGAAAGTGTTTCGCGCCGGATGAAACCTAATTCACCTTCAGTTTATTCCTCGAAACAAACACTAAACATAATTGGAAGTTAAAAAACGGCACGAAAACAAAAGACAAAAAACATTTAAACAGATTAATGACTTGAACAGGAAATTATTATTATTATTAATAATAATAATAATAATAATAATAATAATAATAATAATAAACATAACGCCGCTGCAGAGTGCAAGGTTGAAAGGAGAGAGAGAGAGAGAGAGACTTCTCACCAGGAATGAGCTGGCAAATATCAGAAAAATAGTACAGACACAATATGCAGTATTTTTTGTGAACAATATGTGAAAACTATTAAATTGATAGTTTAGAATGTGATTTTCTAATCCTGAAACCAATAGAATAAAAATATCTGCATGAAAAGATTGTATAGTATATAGTAATATAGTCATTGTCATCCAGAATAACTCACTAAACATTTTCCACAGCGGAAAACTTTGATCGACACAAAAGCCACAGGTATGGCCCACCCTGCGTGAATTGAACTCAGTACGTATTATATGCAAGTTTACTTGACTGATCATTACATCCTTATTAAGGTGCCTGAAAGCACAAACTTCATTTTCTTTAATAATTTCACACCAAGTAAAGCAATAAAGTAACTAGGGTGCAAGGGGTTACTGAATGCTAGAGAGAATATGAGAAAAAACTGCTATTAAGGAGAGAGGACAATAAAAGCACACTAATTTAAGAAGACAGTAGGTTGACACTTAAAATTTTGGAGATGATTGCAAAGCAAGAAGCTGGAAGAGATTTTCCACAATGAAGAAGTGCGATAGAAGCACTCACAAGCCATTTCAACAGTAAAATGATGAGTTTTAACCGCCAGTCTAGTACTGCGCTTAAATTCTTCATTTTTTAGGTGCCATAGTAGAAAGATCAATAGAAAAAATACTATGATAATCTTTATAAAAAAAAGAACAAGGAAACTACTTTCCGGCGGTTGGAAATTAAGTTAAGCCGAGTTTCCAGGTCGGGACGAATAACATCGCAATTTCTTTTGGGGATTTTATCAAGAATCTCTAAATATATAGCAGGAGCACCAAACTAGATGTGGTCGTAATATTCAAAGCCAAGACGAATGATGGAATTATAAATATGTAAGATAGATTCTATCACGAAAAACTGTCTAGTATGACATATTGAACCAACTTACTAGCTGCAGACTTAGCAATTGACGCTATATACTCTTTCCACTTATCAAATTATTTTTTTTCCAAATGTACGCGTTTATAGAACAAAAATTTGCGAAAGAATAAATGAACCATAATTTATATTCAGAAATTTCTGTTCCCCACTTTTATAAAAAAACTAGAAAGTTATATTTACATGAGATGGGATGAATAACATCCTCAATGAAATCTTACGTCAAATATTTAGTTTCCCTGAGTATATGAAAGAATTCTTAAACATTGTTTGCTAGAAATTATATCTATTAAGAAATCTTTTAATTAATACATCTTTTGTTATCATTATTATTATTAATATTATTATTAACAAACAATATGACTGATGTAACTCTTTTTAAAACTTAGAGAAACGTTCAATTTTTTGTTTTACAGTGAAGTTCAACCTGTACAACGTCCAAGAGCCACTCGAGCTAGAGGGATGCAGATAAACAGGTACACTTTATGTGGGGAAGATAATGGTTGACCTTAAAATTGAACCGGTTAAGATTGTAGCGATCGGGGAAGTATCCTTGTGTTATTTTTAAGAAAATTTTGTCTTTTATTTTAAGAGAAGTCTCCCTTAAGAAAATGTCTTTTATTTTAAGAAAATATCTAACAATGTTTAACAAAATTTCGTCTGTAGTTCTCTCTTCTTCGGGCTAGGGTTGAAAATTGCATACGATTATAAAAAAATATTTAAATGCTTACAAGTCTTTGTAAAAGCTTTGTCTTGAAAGAAGCGGTTGTACTGGTAATCAATTCGACGAAACGAATGAAAAACAACCAGCGTGAATAAAATGCAATTGAAATGCCAGTAGCATGATGGGGTTGTTCTCATCTTGCTGTTTACTTGATTATTTAGTAAGACCAATTAATCAAATTGTTTAGTATTTCAATTCACAGTGGCTGCGACTCGTGGGAAGAAGATGCGCAAGTGGAACTTACATTTCACCAATAGAATACAAAGGGAATGACGGTGGTTTGCTGCAATGTGCGTGCCATACCGGGTCTTAGCCGTGAAGCTTAGTACTGGTGGAACTAAAGAATGTAGTTTGTCTGAATACTTTCCATGGAAATAACGATAGAACAGCATGCCGAGTCATGTAATTTAATAATATATATATATATACATATATATTATATATATATATATATATATATATATATATATATATATAGCAAAGTTTGTAGACACTAAAATCACCGGTGGTCAATGTTAAAGATATGGAATATACATACAAAGTAAATGTAAAAAATATATGGAAAAAACTGTGCTTATATTTTACTGCTTTCTGTAACTAGAAGTTTCATGTAGATGTAAAGTTAGACGGTGAATGAAACAATATAATACACATTCATTATAATGTAATAATTATAATAATTATTTGAAAAGCCCAAGAGCCACTCGAGATAGAGGTTACAGATTAAGAGGCACAATTTATGGGTACGTGTGGGGAAGATAATGGTTGACTCTAGACTTGAACAGGTTAAGATTGTATTGATCAGAGAAGCATCCCTGTGTTATTTTAAGAACATCCTGTCTTTTATTTTTAAAAAATTTTTGAATTAAGAAAATGTATTTTATTTTAAGAAAATATCTTACAATATTTAACCTCATTTCGGCTGTATTTCTGTCTTCTTCAGGTTAGGGCTACAAATTGAATAAATGTATAAAAAAATGCATACATGTATAAAGATTGCATACGTTTATAAAAAAAACATTTAAAAAGTTACAAGTCTTTGAAGAATTTTGTCTTGAGAGAAACGGTTGTACTGGTAATCAATTTGACGAAACAAATGAAATGCAACCAGTGTGTATAGAATGCAATTGAAATATTAGTATTATGGTGGTGTTGTGCTCATCTTTCCGTTATTTGATTATTTAGTAATGAATCAAATTGTTTAGTATTTCCATTTACACTGGCTGCGTTTCATTCGGGGACATATAAACAATGTATATTACGGAAGCTTAGAAGGTACCAAAATCTGGCAGGAAATATCAGAGAAATATAATAAGTAGCACATCAAGTTGTCCCTTTTTGGGGTTGGAAACTTTGTATCTCGCAGAATGCCTTAGGGATAATTGACATTATTGAGAGTACCCTGGTGGCAGCACGGCTTGAAACAGCTCATGTACTTAGGAAATTAATGACTCTCTAAAGAGATGAGACATAATCATCATCACCCGACGGAAATATCCAAGAGTCGGAGAGGATATGGAATCAAATAACAATAATAATAATAACGAGTTCTCTTATTTAAGTTTTCTGATGAATCTTAATTCTTAACTTTTAAGTTAACGATTGAATAAGCTTATGGCGAGTTCTGCGATGGTACAATATCCGTAGAAATTCCTTAAATACTTGAGATTAACAACGTTAACAAAATATTGCTATAAGAACCATAGGTATAAATGTTTGTCGTTATTATATGAATTGGGTAGAAATGAGAAGATTTGAAAATGACATTTTTTCCATTTCACTGAGACAGCCGTTAAACATTTCTTTAATTCCTTTTTTTTACTTCTTTCTTTCTTTCATTTTCTCACTGAAAACAAGTAGTGCCTCTTCCTCTCTTTACACACAATCAAAACGGAATAGCAGATTATTTATGATGTATAGACAGAAGACATTAAACACTTTTATCGTCCCTTTTTTTCATTTTCCCTTCTAGCTAAATCCCCGCCTTACGAACATTTCTCTTAATAAGAGTTTTAAAATAATTCAGCAGACGATGTCATTTTATTTAATTTATGGTAATTGTATTTTGGGCGATTGTCTTATTCGATTTCTGTCGAGCGATATTCTTCGTCTGAAAAAATGAAGATTTGTCGCAGTCGCCATCGCTTCTCGGTCTTTTCGGTGGTCAGGGAGAGCCAAAAATTTTAACCGAAGCCCAATGGAGCCTTCCCACCAGACAGTAGCTCTCTTGGGGTGGGGGGCGGTTATTTCCCGGCGCTTGAGGGGTCCCCAAAAGAAGGGGTGCCGAAGGGGCTTAGGCAATGTTTCTACGGTATTGCAGGTAAACACACTCTAAACTTCGATTTTGTGTCACAGTTGATAACGACGTGGGCGCTCTGAAAAAATGCAATTGCTTCTCGGCTTTTTGCCAAAGATCAAAGTGTATTATATTTTCTTATCAGATTAATCTGATTCTCTCTTTCTGCACTTATATCGCCCCTTTTTTCTTTTATTTTCTCGCTGAAACTAAGACATATCTATTCCCAACTTTCCACGCAATCAAAACGCGGAATAGTCCATTAATTTGAAATATTGACAGGAGGTAACGATCGTGCTAACTCAACGAAGGGAGAGACAAGTGCAGTTATAACAGGATAGTATGAACATCACCCTGAACCCGTTACAGAAGGCCATCAACCTTAGAGCAATTCTACAGTTCATTTTCGATTAGACGTTATTTGATTGCTTAGACTTCATTTGGCTAGCAGCTTACGGTCACATCACACAGAAACACCGGTTCCCGCACAGAAACTGAAGTTAAGCGACGTCGAGATTGGTCAGTACCTAGTTGGGTAACCGCTTTGGAATTACCATGTCCTGTAAGCATGGATGCGCAGAGGATGTAATTGATAATGTCTCGGAATTATTAATCGAAGAGCCGACTTCTTATTCCAGTTAGGTTTTTTCCTATTAAATTATGCGCAAATACCATTTGTGGAAGGCATGAAACCGTCTCTTCTCCCTAGCACATTAATTAATTAGCAAGGCCTGCATCGCTAAATCATTATTATCCCAACAAAAATCCTGAAAATCTGAAAAAATTTTCTGGCTTTAAATAATCTAAAATGTTTTTTTAGGCTTTAAAAAACAATTAATCATATTGACTTGCTATCGGAAGACGTGAGACCAATAATTCTGGTGGAAACAATAAAATAACTTTTCAACAAGTCAGATCAAACCGAAATAATATTAGTTCTTTGAATTACAGAGAACCAAAATTATTTATGAATCCACAAGCCCCTTAATAAACTGTGTTCCTGATCAAACTAACTCGTGAATAATCATATTGGACATACCAACACATGCCTATCGAGAAGACTCACGTTACACATTCCCTAACCTTACCTCAATTGGGATACATTTAAACACACACAGAAACATTAAACATTCTCTGCAACATACTTGTAGAAAATACAAGGATAATAGCTTCATCTTCACGTAAAAAAAGATTAAAAATAATGGAAGCACTAATAATAAAAAAGAAAAAGCAACACTCAATAACATCAACTATAAACACGGTCACAATATGCTGACCGTGTTTGGAAAATAAAAATCCATATAAATCTAGATATATATATATAGATAAAAAATCCATGCATTCATTAAAAAATACAATTCATCCTCGATAATGGCTAAAAGAATACTCGAAAGGAGAATATTTCGACAATTTTTACACATTTTATGTCCCAAAATGAAACACTTACACGAACACAAGAAAAATTAGATAAAAAGCTTAATCGCAGAACCTTGTAAGAGGTATTAAATGAGACTTGTATCAAATAGGGATTGCTACCTAAATATACAATCACCCACCCACACAAACACACACACACATGAAATTTGATTTGAACTGTATCGTCCTCTCTGTTGCTACATTAACATATCTTGCCATGCTCGCTGGGCAAGAAAAAGACCAATCTATTTGGCAAAAGAACAAGGCCAAGGAATAGATAGGTAATGCTATATTTAAAAAAAAATAAACATAAAAAAATAAGAATGCAAAATTTGGAAGCGAAAGCAAGATTCGAACTCGTTCAGCTGATTCTCTTGCATGAATAAGCATCAAGACCTCCCCATATTAAATAAAAAAATATTTTAAAAAAATATTAATGTTTTTTTTTTTCTTTTCATTTTGTTTTTTGTAAAATTAGCATTACATTAAGAAGAGAAAAAAATCGGACAGTCCAATAAAATCTGTCAACCTTAATATGATTCTGTGGGATTGATTCCTTTTTTTTACCGCCTCAGAGGAAGCGGGCGGAAAACGACATATATATTATAATATTACAAAGTAAATATGGAATTTTAACTTTCAAATCTGTGCTCTTTTGACAAATTGAACGCATCTCTGAAAGCGAATGGAATAACTAAAGAATCGGTTGATTTATTTAAAATTCGTTTTTGGTAGAGACTTCTTTCCCATCGAGAAAAATTACTGGGT